CTCAGACTCCAAACCTCAAACGATTGCGAACTCGAGCCCTCCGACGCTAGTTGTTCAACCAGCAAGCATTCAGCAGGGAAAAGAGTCGAAGGAGTATGGTGAAGTAGAGGAAGGGCCACCACAACTGCCGAAGCTTGATACCACCGAAGCTGGCCAATGCGACCGCTCTCCTTCGGTTTCGTCAACTGCCTTTGATACGCCAATGTCTCCACAGTCCCTGGCAGAGGAGCTTTCACCCTTTTACGATTCGAACGATGATGACGATGTCTTATCAAGCAATGACGGGGATTGTTCAGCCTATAGACCACATGCAGGACCTTCAACCAAAGCATCTTTCAATGGATATAGTCTGCCGAGACACGCTGAAGAGCATAAGTCCGCAGACGGCTCTTGCCCTGGAGTGATGGGTTTTCATACGGAAACAGCCTTTTCCAAGGCACATGAAGCGACCGTGCCAATCAGTGGCCCAAATTTCCTAAGTGGACCTATGGATACTGGCCTAGGTCTGGAAGACTTTGTCAACGAACTCGGCTTGTTGGTCGGTGGTATTGGCAATAAGAACAGTTGAGTCGAGACGTCACCACGGTTTGGAGTGATTTGTATTCGCTATAGCGGAGGCAGACTCGCCCGATTATCCGCACGAGACTGTATAATGACCACTGCCACAATGAACATGATCATAGAAAAACCAACAGCCCACGGGTTCGACCAGCGTATAAAATGCCTTGCATTAGGGTTATTTTTTTTTTTTTTTTTTTTTTTTTTTTTTTTTTTTTTTTTTTTTTTTTTTTTTTTTTTTTTTTTTTTTTTTTTTTTTTTTTTTTTTTTTGCTTTTAATTTTTCTAGATTATGCCTTCTGTCTGGCGTTGGAATCAGGATTAGAAACGGTAGGCATATTAAAAACTTCCGATACCCCAGATTTCTGGCAGCAGGTTTGAGCAGAATTTAGAGGAAGGGGATCGCATGATTTGGAGGTAGGCATACACTTTTGGCCTCTCCTGGTGAGAGCGAATATGGCGCGTTTATTCTTTTCTAGTAACAGCCCTAGGCTCAGGGGACTGTGCGATGTACTATACGGGAAGCAAGTAGATGGAAGGGTAGGGAGACAGGAGACAGTTGTACAATTAGATTATGGCTTACCTGGCTATCGCGAGCAAGACTTTCACCTTGACAATTAAAGCAGGCTTCTACGCAAAGCTTCAACGGTTGCCGCATTGGTTCGCATACACCATTTCTTTCCATGCCACAGGCACGCGAAGAGACTTTATTTCTATTTTGAAGAGTATACATCAAGTACTATGTAGTATGAAGTTCAAGCTTAGTTCTACGTTAATAGGGCATCGCTCAAGGTATAGTAGATAGCAAAAAAGTATTTAACTAGACCAGATACCCGGCTATAGCGCTCTATAATATCATATATCATAATATATTACGGTATATTATGTATGCTTTTGGGTTAATGGGGCATCGGGTAAGGTATAGTAGATAGTAGTAAAAAGTATTTGACTAAACCAGGTATCCGGCTATAGCGCTCTATACTATAACATATTACGGTATATTAATTCTAGCCATGTAGTTTATCATACAGGTGTTTTGTACATCACTATTGATTTCCAGTCTCATCAATTCTTACTACGTTACCACATGTTGTGCATCTTGAGCAGTTTGCCCAGGGCCAGCACTTTCCTCCGTCTTCATAGCGGCATCATTACCAGCCGTCGCTGTAGGTGTTTCTGCCCCCTCCTCCTTGTTTTTCTCAGGTTGTTCCCGTTGCTTGATCTTAGAGTCTTCGTGTCCTTCCGGGGTCTTTGGCTTCCCGCCACCACCAGGGTTGAGAAAGCGTTCGGGGACACCACGTGCTGCGTGCTTTGGGTTTCCCACCCATGCACCGAGGATGCGACTCCATTGGTAGTCGCCGTTGTTAAGCCGCTGGATCTCTTTGTATGCGAACATGTTGTAGAACGGGAGATTGGTCTTGGGATCCCGGTAGCGTGCCGGGTTATTTGTGATGACACAGATTGGTGCAGGTGCAGGCTCTGTTGAAGTCTGTTAGTAGTCTGGTCTCAAAACTCTGGGTCAACTGGACGTTGCGTGTGCAACTCAAAGGGGCTGTCTTACTGGCGAGTTTGGTCATTTTGCGGCCAAACAGAATCTGGGTCTGAATATTCTTGTCACGTATAGCATTCCCATCAAAATTTTGGTAGATGATGCCGTTCCTTGTTGCGTTTATATCGCGAGGAACCTCAGGTACGGCCGGCGCCTCAGACTCTACTGTACTTCCCAACTTGCTTGTAGGCGCTGTTTGATTCCGGGCAGGTTCAAGGTCGGAGTTGGCCGGCATTATTGGCTTTGCGTCATCCTCCTTGGCTATTGTGGTTGTAGTTTCTGAAGATGTAGATGGTCCTGCCACCGTCGTTGATTCCACGGGCTGGACGGACGGTGGTGTGAGTGTGGACTGGAGTGTATTAGGGGGTGCTAGCACGTTCGATTTAGGTGCAGCATTGACTGGCGAGGGTACATCCCCGTCGATTCCCGGCGGCGGGACGAGCATTGGAGCGGCCAGAACGCTCGATGGCCTGGCTTCCGGAGGGCGCGTTGGGCCAGCCGTAGCAGCCAGGGAGCTTGCAAGTGGAGGAGGCAGAGGCGCCGCCAGTCCGCTTGGGGGATGTGATGACGACGCTGTAGAAATTTGAATAGAGACGGGAGAGGGAGAGGGAGTAGGAGCAGAAGCCGCTGGTTGTGACATAGTTAAATCTGTCGAAGCGACGGTCTCTTCCATGAGGACAGGTGTCGAAGCCACAGGTGATTCCCCTGAAGGTTTGGTTGATTCTCGAATGTTAACGACTTTGTCCTGTGCATTCAAAGCTGCATCCTCTGTAGTTTCGGGCTTTGCGTCCATAGGTTCATTATTTGGCTCTTTGCCTGACACCTCCTTGCTTGCCGACGCATCGGCCGCAGCTGGGGCCGGTAATGCTTCTGTAGGCGTCGGCAGATTCACCGCCTCGGTTGTACCTGCATCAGCCTTTGGTGGTACGTGAGGCTCGTTATCTTTGGCTATTGCGCTGCTGCCGTTTTCCGTATTCCTTTCCTCGCTTATTGCTGGCTTGTCTATCGATGAAGTCCCGACAGGCTTGGGTGTCTCTGAATTTTGATCTTCAGCTTTGACAGCACCTTGCAGATTGTCGTTAGCTGTCTCTTTGGAGACTTTCTTCTCGTCGGTCTTCCCACCATCCTTGTCCTTTCCCTTTCCCTTTGCAGCCTTGTCCACCTTTTCTCTCTTCTTTTTGGGCTTCTCTTCCACCTCAGTCACATATGGACGCAGCGATCGCAATTCGACATCATCCCATTGGCCTCTTCCGCTCCAGAATGTAATAACTGGCCCCTTGAGCGTCCGCTGGTTCAGAGCAGCCAGTTTAGCCTTTCGCTCTTCCTCGCGCTGCTTCTCTGCCTCCTCCCAGCGATTGAGACTCTTGCTGTTGCGCTTCTCTACAATCACAGCTTCAGCTAGCCTCTCCTCCTGCGTCATGGGAGGCTTTTTCAGGGCCTCGAGTCGAGCAGCCTTCTTTTCCATTTGTGCGAGCTGCTTGAGCCTCCTCGCCTCACGTTCTGCCATTTGCTGATGCAGCTGCTCTTTGGATATACGAGTTGTCTGTCGGGATGAGGCACGTGTAGGCAGATCCGCAGGCGACGGCAGCCATGAGGCTCGTTCCGACTTTTTTTTGGGACGTGGCGCGGGAGCTGGAACAGATGCCCTGGTCGTAGGGTCGATGCGAACCTTCTTTCTAAACTTGGCTGGGATTGCTTCTTGTGCTCTTCGTTTCCGTTGGGCAGCGCGCTTTTCTTTTGCCTGGCGCTCTAGCTCCTTTTCGCCCTCCAAATCATCGTCGTTGGCGTTGTTATCATCTTCGTCGTCGGATGAGGAGTCCATGTGTACGTCGGAGCCCTCCTCGCCAACATCGGAGAAGCCCTGGTCGTTCTCGTCTTCGGCGAATAAAAGTTCAAGGTCTGAATCTGGCTCTTCATTAGCAAGCATTGACTTCATGCGATTTCCCGCCGTAGACCGGCGTTTTCGCGTTGTTGCAAGCCATTCTGTCTGCTGGGCCGGGGTGTCAGGGGTGTCTCTGTCCGAGCTATCAAGATCGCTGGGCGGATCGGACAGCTGCGATGTGTCCCTGTCAGAGGTTCTTGATTCTGTATCCATCATAGGCGGATCCTCCATGTCAGCAGAAGGAGAATCACTAGAATCATTCGTGGCTAGCTGGCCGGCGGTCGAGCCACATTCGTGAGGTGGCAACCACGTGTGGATGTCAAGTTGCAATTGAGAAGGTGCAAAAAGCGACGCGTTTGAGGGGAGACGGTAAATTTAGAGGCGTCGTTCCACCACCGCTGACATCATGGTCCCATATTATGCCTTAATGCCTGCTCGGCGCAATCAAGGCAAGTGCAGCAACAGTCTGGACTTTCCATTGTTTATTTGTCGCCTTCACTGCATGCAAATGACATTGCGGTGTGAGTGAAATTTGCTAATTTAATCATAGAACTGGTGGTCTATCCTGTGCGGCCTACAGATTGAGTGCGCCGTCTTTGTTGCCTTCCAAAGGGCTATCGCTGACTTCTATGGATGTCCACGATGATCCAATATATGCCAAGTATTCAAACGCCTCTCGCTAGACAAAGCAAACGCCCAAACGGAGAAACCAAAAAAAAAAAAATCTCTACCACGCCAAGCCAACATGGCCGAAAACAGAACGAAATCTAAAAATGTAAAGACTGAAATCTGCAGTGCAAGACTCAGCCATCCTGAGAAACGCTGCGTGTATGTGTGTATGTGTGAATGTTCTTCTTGCTTAATCAGGGGGTCGATCCATAATATATTGGATTCGCAACCAAGTATTGCGTAACTCGTCGAGGAGCGAATATATGACGACAACAATCTCATCAATCTCCCATGTACGCATCCAAAATTCGAGTCCCAGGTGTATCAGTACCGGAAGAAAACACTACATCTCATCTGGAACAAAGGCGTCAACCCCGTTGTCCCCTTCCCATTCTTTGCATAATCCTATCCAGTTTCGATGGAGACACTTTCCCTTTGATGGAGCACTACTGGTTGGTGCAGCTGTCCATGTCGTCGATGTCGGCCCCTTGGTAATGGGCAGCTGTGTACGTGTGCCCGGTAGAGGTGTTGGGGTCGTGCTAGTCTCATCCTTGTCCCAACAACCCCACCACTTTCCCGGTGTTTCGCATGTGGTTGTTGGCGCAGGGGTTGTAGTAGTGGCATCTGAGGTTGTAGTAATAGTGTTTGTGGTGGTCTTATCCTTACATCCAAACCAGCCCGGCGTTTTGCAAGTTGATGTCAAGGACGTAGTCTTGGTACTCGTAGCCGTGACTCCTGTAGTCGTCGTATCGAGGCAACCCCACCAGCCTGGGGTCTTGCAGGTTGAAGTTCGTGTTCGCGTACGAGTCGTCGTCGTTGAGGTCGATGTTGTCGTCGTCTCCGTACCGTTGCTCTCATACATTTTCCACTGGGCACAATCTCGACATTCAGGGGTCATGGAACACTCGGGAACATCGTCATATTTCAAAATGACGTCAGAGATGACTGCTCGAATCTTGTGGGTTCCAATCCCTACACGCCATCCTTTGTCGGCAACAACATCGTAGACACACTCGCTTCCAGTGTGACAAAATGTCTCCAGCGCATAACCGGCGAAGGAGCAAGACGCAGTAGCACCGTTACAGGTGCCAATGTAGATGGGATCAGCCGTGTGACCAAAGTGGTAAGCGCCAGTATTTTCTCTTGTTTGAGGAGCTTTCGGATCAGAGCCCGGGGGGATGGGTAGACCAAGGCGAGTCGCGGCGAGAGCCTCGGGAACAGCTTCGAATGTGACGACGGGCAAACCATACGTCAGACCTAGCAAGGAGCTGACAGCTCCACCCAATGAGTGGCCTACTACCCAGATTGTAGAATGGGGATAGCGCTCAGTCACATTGGAGTAAAGCTCGCGGGCAGCGGCATAGTACCGACTTTCTTCGTGCAGAGATTTTGTAACACAGGTGTTGTTGCAAGAGTACGTGCTTGTGGCGCAGTCGCAAACCTGATGCCAAGTCCACTGTCCCTGCTGCGCGCAACAACAACTGAAGAACAGGTTATCGTTAATTTTGTCATTGGTCGTTGTACCATCTCCATCAAAGACGGCGGGGGTTGTTCCCTTGAGACCAATAACAATTGTTGAGTTGTCGTGGTCAGCCCAGATATGTCCACGCAACCCATCGCTTTGCCAGCCAAAGTCTGCCGTGCGGTTGAAAGGTTCACCGATGTCTAACCAATCGGCAGCGTCTTCTGTCTCGACATAGGCGTCGGCGGCCATGTATGCTAAGCTAAGCACAGTGTCTTTATCTGTAACATCTGGCGAGGGAACATCATCAACTGTCCATGCTGAAGCATCAAGCACAGCAACATATCCCTCTTGACGTGCGTGGGCAACCATGGGGTCTACAACAGAAGGGCGTCTATCAACGAGACGCTGTATGGTGTTGCCACGACTCCTGGCTCTGAGACGGGGTAGGTCATATTCCGCATGGCCGTCTTCAGCGGCGAGGAAGACGCGGGACGACGAAAGATCGTGAGTGACGTCCATGCTGCGATGGAGCCGCGGATGCCGGTCGGTACCATGATGATAGATGTGGCGCAGTGTAAATATGTGGTCGGCTGGTCGGGGAGATTCCGGGTTCGAGGGCGTGACGATGGCTGGAGGAAGAAAGATATCTTGACCTACGACAGCATCTCGATCGATGGGTGAAAGGTGCGAAGCAGCCGTCGGAGGAGAAATTGCCAGTAAAGATAGCAGGAAAACTGCGGTAACTCTGCCGGCAGAAGTGCACCGCTCCAACACCCGAGACGGCTCAGAATTCGATAACATAGTCAACGGCTGCCGGATCCAGCCCTAGAGGGAATCAATACCATGAGCGTAGGCAAAGCCTCTTTGAAGTCAAAGCTATGGATACCACGGAGAGAAGGAAGGAGGTGGTAATTGCGGAGTCCTGCTCTGGAAAAGTGGAAGAGGAAAACAGGAGCGCGAGGGGGAAATGAGGTTGTAACAGGAGGAGGGAAACGAGTGACATTCAAGAGAGCGAACGGAGTGGCGGCGACGCCGTCATGCCCACGCGGTTTAAGGTCTCGGACTTGGATGCGCAAGCGGGAGCCCGTCGTCGGTGGGGACGGGTCCAAGGTAAGATGGGTACTGCGTGCCATTATGACCTCGGGAAGGGGCGATGGACTCGTGGAATAGTAGAAGTGACAGAAGACCCTTTGACAATAGAGCGATACCACTAACACATATGTTAGTGGTCGCAAGGAATGCAGTTCATGCCCAGTTCTGAGTCACTGTACGTCTACTTAGGCCCTGCGGTATAGCTAACTTCTACACTAGTAGCTTCCAGTTACCTGCTCTGGATTTGTGTACTTCGGTACTTGGGCACAATGGTTCTGGGGTACCGTCTGGTCAGAAGGCGCTCAGTGCTGTTCAAGACCACTGATTCAGCATCAGCATCGCGCCAACCAGCACATGTGACCGCTATTGCGCTAGGCTGGGCTTCCCAGATGACCACACACTTTGACCACTTGACCGTGTGGGCAACTTCCAATGGCAATCAGGAGTAATACCTAAGCACATCAATTAAACAAGCACGTCGCGACGCGCGCCGATGCAGCGCGTGTCTCCAGATTTCCCCACCACGCAGCCAATCCGAGGCTGGTGCGCCAACATTTTGATCTTGAGTACCAGCGAGAGTTTGACAGCTTTGGCCGCACCGCATTTCATACTCCTTTGTGTCGAACCAGCATCTCTGCGCACATCGCCCAAGATGACTGCAATGTGAGTAACTCTACACCTGTCCAATTCCTAGTTCTTTCCGTGTGGGCTAGCAACCGAACCGCCTCTGCATCATGGCAGTGGTACCTCGCGCGCCAATGTTTGTAGCTTCAGCTATCGTGAACTCGCACTGGCAACGCACTACCTTCACGGCAAACCGCGCAGACATATCTCAACTAACAGTCACTTCCTTTAGTGAGAGCTTCGACAGCATCTACCTCGACCTTTCCAAGGAGAGCGGCAAGTGCAGATTTGCCGAGACGGGCTTCGGATGGAAGCCGTCGAATGGAGGTGACACCTTCACCCTAGACCAGACCAACATTGGTGGTGCGCAATGGAGCCGGGCAGCCAAGGGGTACGAAGTTCGAATTTTGCAACGGAATTCCGGCATCATTCAGCTCGATGGCTTTCAACAGGAGGATTACGACCGGCTTAGCAAGGTCTTCAAGAACTGGTACAGCACCGTTCTCGAAAACAAAGAGCATGCGCTCCGTGGCTGGAATTGGGGCAAGGCCGAGTTTGCCAAGGCTGAATTGATTTTTAGTGTGCAAAACAAGCCTGCCTTTGAGCTTCCTTACTCGGAGATTGGAAATACAAACTTGGCTGGTCGCAACGAGGTCGCCGTCGAAATGTCCCTGCCCCAGGACTCAAATGATACAGGCACCAACGGTCAGCTTGGTGGCGCCCGCGGCAAAGGCAAGAAGGCCGGTGGTGGCAGAGACCAGCTCGTGGAAATGCGGTTTTATATTCCTGGCACTACCACTGCCAAGAAGGAAGCCGATGGTGACGACGCCGAAGATGAGGAAGCCGAAGAGAAAAATGCCGCCACCCTCTTCTACGATACCCTCATTGAGAAGGCCGAGATTGGAGAGACTGCTGGCGATACTATCGCCACCTTCCTCGACGTGCTTCATCTTACTCCGAGGTATGGTGCCATGAGCCCTCAGCACCCGAAGAAGCGTTTACCCGTCTTGTCCTTGATTCTGCTAACATGTCCTTCGACAGAGGTCGTTTCGATATCGACATGTATGAAGCTTCATTCCGACTGCGTGGAAAGACGTACGATTACAAGATCCAATACGAGTCTATCAAGAAATTCATGGTTCTTCCCAAGCCTGACGAGATGCACTGCATGCTGTGTATCGGCTTAGACCCGCCTCTGCGTCAGGGTCAGACACGATACCCATTTGTTGTCATGCAATTTAAGAAGGACGAGGAGGTTACCATTGACTTGAATCTCGACGAGTCAGAATTGCAATCCAAATACAAGGACAAGCTGGAGCCTCACTACGAGGAGCCACTGCACCACGTTGTTGCCAAGATCTTCCGTGGTCTGGCCAACAAGAAGATTTCATCACCTGCCAAAGACTTCATCACGTACGTATATTGGATCATCATTCAACCCTCACATGTACCCGGTATTTTTTTTTTTTTGGACTGCCGCTCACTAATAATGTTTGTTACTCATGTCTAGTCACCGAAGTCAGTACGGTATCAAGTGCTCCATTAAAGCCAGCGAGGGATTTCTGTATTGCCTGGAAAAGGCCTTCATGTTCGTGCCCAAGCCGGCCACATACATTGCCTACGAGCAAACACAATCCGTTACATTCTCCCGAGTGGGTGGTGCTGTCTCCACCTTATCTACTTTTGATATCACCGTTGTGATGAAGAATGGCGCCGGGTCGTCGCAGTTCAGCAACATTAACAGGGAAGACCTCAAGGCTCTGGAGACATTTTTCAAGCTCAAGGGTCTGCGTGTCAAGAATGAAATCGATGAAGATGCCAACATGCTTGCCGCCGCCCTCCGCGAACAGGACATGGACGACTCAGATGATGAAGTTGTCGCCAACAAAGCGGATCGTGGCTCAGCCGATGAGGATGAAGAAAGCGTGGATGAAGATTTCCAGGCTGACAGTGACAGTGATGTGGCTGAGGAGTATGATAGTGCACATGAGAGCTCAGGCTCTGGCAGTGCTGAGAGCGATGTCGATGCCGATGAAGCGGATGAAGAGGAGGACGAGGAGGAAGCCGAGGAGGAACGGCCCAAAAAGAAGAAGAAGACTGGTTAGAGTGACCACGGAATCATAGGAGTTAATGAACGGAGGAGGGATCAAGACACCAGGGCATCGGAAGGGAACATGTACTGGTGCAAGAGAAAAGCCTTGAAAACTGGGCACTTGTGTTACTGTGAGGAGTGGCGTTATCTCACATTGGCTTCCATCAACCCGGCTTCGGTTCTTGATGGTAGGTAATTAGATGCAGAGGAGGCGACACGTTTATTATGTACAAGTACTATTTGAGAGGACGGTTGGGCGGCGTCAACAATCCGACTAGCGGGTTCAATGGAGAGATGATTTACAACAGGTCCATCATTTCATAACCGTCCTTTTTTTTTTGGGCTGGCGTAAACTGCCTTTCATAATGGGATCTGCTGCTTTCTTTTCGAACTACCGATTTTGAGATTTACGCCGTGCAACATTGTACATGTTTCGTTTCCTAAGTAGCTACCAACCCGGGTAGGTAGTAGACTTGGCCAAATGTGCTTAAAAGTCACTTCAGTAAGAAAAATTGATTGGATTTTTTTTAGTGAATAAGGTCATTCCTTCTCTCGCAATGCGAGAGAAGGAATTTTGCCCCAGAAGATCTAGTATCATCTTCCAGCTATATTCCACACTCGCCCAGAAACAGCCAATGATTACCTACTACCTAGTAGGTAGGTAACTACCTATCGGCAAGCCAAGATATTCTCCAGTCAGTTCTGAAAACAAATCCAGTCCCAAATCCAGTAACACACACACACACACACAAGGGAATTTCTGTTTTGTCTAGTCCAACTTTTCGACACCGCCGTTCCTTGCCAATAAAATCTTTTCCGCGTTCGTCGAACCGCTTGTCGCGGAGACAAATTTAAACATTCTAAAGAAAAATGAAATGAGTCGTAACCGTTGGGTCCCCTAGTCTCAGAGAGCCCATGCATATATGATAGAACACACAAAGAACAAATATGAAATGGTCATGCGCCTCTGGTAAGTCCTCAGCTCGAAACAACGAAAGTAGGTCTAATGAGCAAACTGGAAAAGTGACGCTAGCGAGAGACAAAAATGTATACAGGATAAAACAAACGACACAACTGTCGCCATATATCTACCATGGTGTAACAAAATAATTGTCACAAGGGTTGCACTGTCATAAAGCAAGACAGAGTTCCACACGTTCATGCCAAGGCCGGACTGATTTAAATGTGTGCCCCTGTGGCTTTCATATGTGTTCGTGGGAACAGTGCGTACTGTCCCACCGGAGGAGGAGATTGGACGGTCAAACTTGTTGTCTTGGCTCTCGGACGTCTCGGCTTAACACTCTCTTCCAGCGAAGGAGGAGGTGCATCGTCGCGAACCTGAGACTCGCTAGCATGGCTCTTGTGATAATACTTCTTGAGCCCATTCGACGGAGGAAATGGTATCATGTCGGGGACATGGTCTTGAGCCGCTGGATATGTGCCAGCCCACTCTGGTCCATCCTGATCGTGGTCTGGGGTTTGAGCTTTAGGGAGTGGTTCAGAGTCATCAGTTAATGATCCCGCCATCCTATTGAGCGAGGTGCTACTTGCGGTACGCCGAGCAAGTGTAGTCCAAGACGAGTTGGTCGATCTATATTGTCTTCCAATAGAGTTTGAGCGAGATGTAGAATTGGTCTCAGTGGTCGAGGTGCTGGAACGTTGATCAAGCAATGGAGACGATCCGTTAGCTTCTGCCGATGAGTTCGTATCT